GTATCACAGTCTTTATGGTAAGTCGTGACACTCTTGAGTTATCCAAACATATGTTTCAAGATCTGTCTGTCTCCCTTGGTCAGTTTTTCCAGTAGTGTTAAAGTTCCAAACCTGTTGGTTCCAGTTTTTAATGGTAAGATTTTGACTGTTTTTCCAATCATTTGCAATTTCTTGATGTGCAGCAAGTTAAAAAGTTATCAGTTCTTTATGCAGTAATTATTTATCACTGTCTAGGAATAATGTCAACATCCTTTCTTTACTGAACAGTTCAGTATGAGAACCATCCATGAGCAAATTTTAAATAATGAGGTAGTCTCTTGATATCTTCCCCAACTCAACCACCTGACAGGACTCTTGAAAGGCTGTTTTCAGTACAGAGAATCAAAAGATAAGGTGCTAAGAGTTTTGCTGCTGCAATGGGAATGATGTGACTGACTGTGGCAGATTCCCACTAAAGAGAGCTCCTTTTTGATTTTAGGGTATACACAACTTTTGCCTCATTGCACATGACCTGCACACGTTCCATAATTTAAAAAGGAACTTTAAAAGTTACAGTTTGCTGTTACTATCACTTTAGCCATGCCAGTGGAATTCTGAGAGAATATTCTGGCTGTAGTACATTTGAAAAGCTGTGGTTCTGTACTCATTTATTTGAGTTTATATCCAATTACTCTCAGTGGGACTCACTTCTTAGGTGAACTATTGAATACTGCATTCCAGATCACCCATTCCTATTTGTGTCTGTGTGTGGCCAAAGGCCAGAGTAAATTCTATAGTTATTTGTTGTTTAAGATCATTTTGATTTCAAAACTAATGTCCTGCGCTCAGATTATTCAGTATCATTGCTGTCAGATGTAGTACTGATTCTGCTTTGTTCAACTGGGAAGCTACTGAAAAAAAATCATCCACTTGGTTACTATACAGTTTCAGTCATCCAGTTACTGATCAGTGTAAACTTAGCTTAGCTCATGACAGTTAATGAAACCACAGCTGTCAGTGGCTTGTTGTACACAAGACATATTTAACGGGCATCCATTAGACATGTTTATTTATATTTATTACACAATATTCCACAAACAGCTTATTAGGATGAGGTTTTAAGATCAATTCTGTTCTTCTAAGATCATCTGGATTGCGGCCATGTGGCCATCTGCAAATTCTGTTGTTGGAAGATTAGTGAAGCTTCTAATTGCACATTTTGGTGATTAAATACTAAATAGTAATCACCTGATTTTTAAATCTTATTTTTGAACAATTGCTTTTTTACACACAAAACCCCCCACATTAAATGGCACATAATTTGCTACAGATTCATACATGCATCAAGACTTTTCCTTGACTGAACCTGCATTATAAAGATCAAAATAACAGTGGAATTTTGTGTGTTTATGCAGAAGGGTCGAATGACTAGATCAGCCATTCTCAACCTTTTTTTGGGGGGGGGGGACACAGCCATAAAAACAATATGAAAGAAACACAGGCCAAATCAGGATTGTATAAGGCTGTGGTCACACCAGTGAAATGTCCCCCTGTGGTTATGCGACTTGAATTGTATTCCTGTCATGCTTTGAGGTCACCTGATATTTATTCCAGGATGTGCATCTCAATGTGTTTTTGGGTTACCAAGTCTTTTCCTTTCAGTTCAGTAAACACCTAGAGCTTCTTGTTGAGATCATGTGACAAATGTTAACTGATGCATCGACACAAATGCCACAGATTTTTTTTTTAAAAATTAAAAACATTTTAAAAGGACGTGCACGGTGACTGTAGTTCAAAAAAGCTGCAAGAAAATTGTTCACACACAGAGCTATGCAACATATTTTTGAAAAGGTCCGCAACAAAAAAAGTAGAAGCTTCTTGCCTAGTGAGAAATGGTCTGCAGCTAGCACACTTGCTGGGTAGATGATACACGAATGACCGTGCATCATATGACTGAACATTTTAATGCAAATTTAAAGAGAGAGTACTAGAAAACATTTTGTTAGTGTGACCGCATAACAAACCATGTGAGGTAGTGTGTGAAGAATTATTTCCAGTTTTGGTTTCCTTCAAATGTGCCAGGTTCCTCCGGGGCCCCTATGGCCCCATTGCAAATGGCTAGACTAGATTATAATCTTTGCAGTGGTCTAAACAAAACACCATGATTCCTCTCACTGTCCTACCCCTGCTTGCTACCTTATCCTACACCCTGTAAACATGGTTCAGTGGGCTGCAAAATCTTCTAGAGCAGTGGTTCTCAAACTGGGGCTCCCATATGTTCTTGGATTGCAGTTCCCAGAAGCCTTCATCACTTGCTGTGCTGGCTAGGATTTCTGGGAGTTGCAGTCCAAGAACATCTGGAGACCCAAATTTGAGAAGCACTGCTCTAGAGCAGATTTTTGGGCAGAGGGAGCAGGGACAGGTCCCATCCTGCTGTTAACACAGTGTTGTATTTAGGACATTTGGTGAGAGCAACTCTATTATTGACAAAACCATATTGTATGCTGGGCAATATAGGAAGAAATAATGGCACACAGAAAGTTTGCTAACTTTGTTAAGCATTTAAGAAACAAGTTGTCCTTTTCTGAAATGTCTACAGTCTCTGGTCAAATACTAGTTAACAACATGAATATAGATAAAAACTTATTTTGATTAATAACATCCAAAATACCACTGGGGTATTTACTAGGAATTTACAGAATTCGGCTGTAAATATGTTAATATTCATCATTCTTCAGAAATCAAAGTCTGTATTTTGGAAGTCTGCACACTGCATAAGGCCAGGTGCAGCTTTATGGGTTACTTTATTCAAATAGGTTAGTTTGGTAAAAAGTTCTGATGGAACTGAAGAATATTACCAAACTGTTTTAGGAATAATCTTCAATTCAGTATTCTTGTTTGAATACTTTGGGCACATCTTGTTATTGCAAGTAATGGAAAAACAAGAAAAAAGTTGAATGCTAACAAGTATTCTTTCTCTACTAATTTCTCTGACTGTCCACTTGAAGGCAGGAAATATTTCCCTGTTATATTTTCCTACTGTTGCACCACTGACATTTTATTGTTCAGCAAACAACCTCTTGTTTCTCATCCGGTTAGTAATAACCCAGTTCCCTAGAAGTTGGCAGGATGCTGGCAATCTGAACCTCTCTTTGAAATTACTCTGCTGGAATTCTTTCTCTTCTGTAGCTGTCAGTGAGCATTTCAGAGAGCTTCTGAAGAGTATCCCATTTAATGTTCCTTTGTTATATTGCATATTTAAAATGTCAAGAAAACATGATTTGTTCTCCTAGCATGGCAGTCATGCGGTTTTTACTATTTCTTTTTAAACAATCGCTTCTTTTTCTTCTTATCTCACTTTGCTTCACCGTCGACCTCCGTTATGGTTTCCTCCGAACATGCCGACTGGCTTCCTTCCTTCCCACTGACGGCTTTTCCTTTTGATCCTTCTGCAACCTCAGAAAGTTCCTCGGAAAGTGCTATTTTTTTAAACAGCAGCTTTTACGTCAAAATGAACCCTGCCCTCCCAGCCTCAATATTTTATCTCCATGTCCACCCAGCCCATCATTTCATTTTAGAGATTTTGTTATTTCTCTCGCTCCGCCGGTCTCTCGCAAACGTGATCATCATAACATACCCATCCATTCCCTAGCCTTGAGGTTGTATCACAAACAACTTCGCATCGGGGCGTCCTTTCTCATTTGGCCAGAGAGCGTGAGCAGAGGCGCAGAGGGGGGCATTCGAGAAGTTTGAATCCGTTTTGTCCCTGGCCATGCCCCCCTCCCCACTAAAAACCCCCTCCGATCTCCCGATCTGGCTGCCTCTTTCAGGAAAGGAGAAAGGCAGCGCCCCGACCCGGGATGCGGAAAGTCCCGTTTCTGCCTCTTCCCGGACCCATTTAAAAAAAAAAAAAAAGCCCGCCTCGTCTCCTGGCTTGGCTTTCCCTCTAACCCCGAGAGCACTGGAGGAAGCTCGCCCGAGCGGTTCCGACCGCAAGGGAGGCACCGAAACGGAGGTGATTCGCGCGCCTCTGGATCCGCGCCCGACCGCGCGTGCTTCTCCGAGCCGGGGACGCCGTGCCTGCTGTCAGGCAGCCAGCCAGCCAGCCGAGGAGGGGAGCCAAGAGAGAAAGAGAGAGAGAGAGAGAAAAGGAGGAGGGGGAACGGACGGGGAAGAGCGGGAAGCGAGCCTTCTGGTGGAGGAATGCTTCCCCCCCTCCTCCTTCCGCCTCCCCTCAGCTTTTAAGCACTTACACCTCTGCCCGGTCGCAGGCACCACAGCAAAGAAACACCCCCGCCCGCTCTTCTTCCAAGACTCCGGAGGAACCTTCTACACCCCCCTCCGGCCCGCCCGCCCTCCAGGAAAAGGGGCTTTCTAAGAGAAGGAAACACTTATTGTGAATAGCGTTACTGTTGCTTCGCTCAGGGCTGGCGGGAGTGACGGGAAGAGGAGACGCGGGAGGACGGCGTAGGAGCGGCCTCCTTCTCCCCCTCTTCCTCTCCCTCCTCTCCGCCTTTTCCCTCCTCTGAGCCCGTCCGCCGCCCCCTAGGGCGATCCGCGGGTCGTTCGGAGGATTAGAGCGGATTGCCCGGGGAGGGTGTGTGTGTGAGGTGGAGGGATCTGAAGGCAGCCCATGTGGCGGCGAGAGCCCTGAGGGAAGCCGCGCGCGTGCCGCGC